CATTCCCCATTCCCCGTTCCCCGTTACCAGTTTTAGTAGCCTCCTTCTCAATATCATAGGACATTTTTGCTACGGGGGCTGCTACAGTGACGATAACTCGCAAGAATGCGGCAGAAAGATGATTGCGAAACACAACCAGCATTTAGAACTCATGAATGTCATTCATAAAATAATGCAAAAAGGTATGGTTATCTTCTTACAGATGGATATCACATGATGTATTAATTGAAACGGCAAAGATACAGAATTATACATGTATTTATCTCTTTCATACAATCATAATCTAACCGTGATGAAACATTTCATTTATTTTAAGGGTTACTGAGGGTTATTGACCTCAGTATTGTGCAAGCTTTGAAGTTTGAGGAAGCAAAGAACGAGACATCCTCGAAGAAGAGCATGCTTCACGGCGCTTATTTCGACTGGATATATTTTATCAATCTTTTGAACTTCCTTTGCTAATTCAAGCAGAGAAATACTGATGCTATATTCCCGCGAATCTTTCCCTAGGAGTATTGGGAGACTCCCGGGAAATGCAGTTGTCTTCTAGCATGCTCTCATTACGTTTATATAGTTTCTACGCCTTGATAACTTTAGGAAAATTGCACTGTATAACAAAGTTTGAGTGATAGAAATTCTTTAATCTACAACTATGTTATATACTAGACAGTTTGCGTTTTAAAGCTCTAAGGTCGGGAGAGGAATCGAATTTCATCGTATCATGCATGTCTGCTTCAAAAAATTCTTCTTTGCTGCTAAGTGTGGCACTTTTATTCATGATTCCGGCAATTGTGACCTTCAACTCGTGCAGCTTCGATAAGTCGCACAAACAATAACATAGATTTCGAGAAATATGAGTAAGAAACTATGCTTTCGTATATCATGATAACCTTTGGATTACATTTCCTTGAATAGGATGGCTGTTTAGATATTGGCTGAATGTTTTTCTGGGTTGGCGTTAGGTTTCAGCGACTCCTTGCGGAAAACAATTCTGACCATTGTAAAAACACCACTGATTGTTTGACCTCCTTGTTGCAACTCAGCACAGTTCTTTGCTGTTGAGGAAAGTTGGCAGAAATATGAATAGTCCCTTTCAGACGGATACGATGAGCTGTTGAGTGATTTTTTGTTTTAAATCAGATAGCAGTAAATGTCAGCTCAAAAGAAAGTGCAACATTCCTTTGAAATAATTCCTTAGAACTTACAAATCCATTGTATTTCGGATGCGAGAAACATTAAGTTATCCTAATCCCTTAAAAGATCATCGGGTACGACAATTAAATAAAGCAATGGTGTTTGATTATTTTAACACTTGAGTACCTAAAAGGTCAAGTATGACGCTCGCTTAGGGGAGTGTTCGAGCGTAACACAGTTTAGTCCGCCGCTAATTGTAATAACAACGGAATTCCCACCTTGCTCTAAAGAAGTTAACCTAACACCCACGTTCTCAGTAATAAAGAGCTGCTACAGTGACGATACCTCAGAAGAATGCGGCACAAAGTTGATGGCGAAACACATTATGACAATTTCAACTCATCTACCATCATGTCATTCATAAAATCATGCAAAAAGTTTTCATTATCTCTTTACAGATGAATCACGCACAATGTATGAACTAAATTCTATAACTCCTTTTCTCTTTCATACACTCATAGTCTGAGAGTGATGAAACATTTAATTTATTTTGAAGGGTTAACGAGGTTCACCTTAGAATTGTTCCAGAAAAGAGATCGGACATTTCATTTTTTAAACTAGAAGAGCAAGCTTCACGCTTATTTCGACCCAATTTTTGTGAATTCGAACTTCCTATGTTAATTCACGCAAAGAAATACTATGCTGTACTCCAGATTATCGACCCCTATGAGTATTGGGAGTCTCCCCTTAGGGAAATACAGTTGTCTTCCATCATATTCTCGTTACATCTTTAATTTCCAAGAAACAGGATGCCCTTTATTCCAGAACACCCCTCCCTTATGAATAGTGGGAGGCCTGCGGGAAATATAGTTGTCTTCTAGCATATTCTCATCGCGCTTATGGTTCCTACGCCTTAATTTAGGACTCAGGCTGCTGTATAAATACAGGTTCGAGTCGTTGAGATTTCTTCAATCTACAACTGCGCTACGTGTACATTTCGAGATCTACAGCTTTAAGGTTGGGAGAGAAACTTCATCGTATCATGTCTGTTTCACAAAATTCTTCTCTGCTGCTCAGTGTGGCACTTTTATTCATGATTCAGTTGTTACTTTCAACCCGTGCGGCTCCGATAAGTTGCAAAAACAACAGCAGAAAATCCGAGAAATGTGAGTAAGAATCTATGCTTTGGTATATTACATGTGATAACCCTTGGATTACATTTCCTTTAATACGACGGTTGTTCACATATTGGCAAAACGTTTCTCTTGGTTGGCGTTAAGATTCAGAGCTTCCTTGCGAAAAACAATTGTACTTGTACTCTAGCGTCCTCCATGAGTTCAGAACTGTCAAAAAACTGAACTAATGATCGTTTACTCGTTGCATGTTCTCTTTTACTTGATTTTTTATTATTTCTTATTTTCCTCGCATATTCATTTCCTTGGTACTCGTAATCGATGAGAAAAATTTAATTTTTTATCCCTTAACAGTTAAGAACTGTGCTGAGCTTTACAAGTGCGGTCAAACCATAAGTGGTGTTTATACAATCGACCCGGCTGACGGTAAAGGTGCCTTTAATGTCTATTGTGATCAGACAACAGACGGTGGAGGATGGACAGTGATCCAGAAGAGGGTGGATGACATCGTAGATTTCAACCGTACTTGGAAAGAGTATAAAAATGGATTTGGTGATTTCCTCATTGGGGACTTTTGGCTCGGACTGGAAAAGATCCAACGCCTGACGCAAAACAAAACAGAAAACAAACTCCGCGTGGATCTAGGAGTAACTGCCAACAAAACTGGTCATGCAGAGTATGAATGGTTTGGTATTGAGACAGCTGATTACAAGCTGCGCATCGGCAGTATTTCGGCATGTAAGTCAATTTACTCTTTCCTAATCAATGCACATTGTTATAGACGACAGTTACTATCACCAAAACATATGTCTCCCAAGCGACTGTTTGCCTTGAGAATATAAGTGTGATTCATATCTGGTTGTGCATATCATACTCATGAGACCAACCCTGAACAACTCATTTACTTGACGAATTGCCTGTGATTTGGTGGCATATAATCAATCAGGTGGCACGAGGACCTGGGATGTATAGGAAATTAACTAGTGCTCGGATTTGATTCAGTAACTTTGATGCTCTAGAATTCAAAAATGTGTTCTGAAATGTCGCCTCCACAAGAACCGGAATCCCATCATTTTATACACAAAAATGGGCCAGAGCTAGGTTTTCAATAATTACGAACAACTGTTATCTATAAATTTGAAATATATTGAATTTTTTTCCCCTTTTTTGTGTTTAGCTGCAACCGTTAACGATTCCCTATCCCATCATAATGGCAAGTTATTCGGTACCTGGGACAGACCGTCAGCTAACAGTGTTTGTGCACCGAGGTTACCGAGGTTATGCGAAGGCTGGTCGTACCTGCAAGTTGATAAAGTTTGTACTGTTCGCTCAAATCTCAACAAGTTCTATCCTCCTCACTGGGGAGAGATAGACCCTAAAGCTAAAACCGCTCTCAGCACAACTCAAATGAAAATCAGACAAAAAGACTTTATCGTGGGTGAGTGAAGGGGAAGGATTTTGATTGAGTTAGGATCAAATTTTCCAGATTCCCTTATAAGGCATTGTAATATTCTTAAGTTTTTCCCTTATAGCAGTCAAAAACAAACATCCTCCGACCTCACAGGCGATAAATGACGTCTGGCCCTTAATCATTTGTGCTGATCTATTTTACTTAACGTGAACTCTAATTGCATATTGCAGTGAAAGGAAAGTCAAGTTTAAAATTTAGTATAATTATCCGGTCCAGGATTTATCGCGGAACGTGATTTATTTGAGAAGTCTTGTAATGGAAAGAAAACGCAAAATTTTGTTTTTGTAGAAAGCTTGTAGCGGTAAACCACGCCTGAGCTTATCGTCAGTCAGTTGGATCCAAAAATAAATTCCTAGAGGCATTAATTATAATTAGGTTAAGTCGACTTCATACTAATTTAGATTGATTCCAAGATCTATTGTAAACTTTATAGGAAAACGTTGAGATGAGCATGTGCAGTATATAAAGGAAATCATAAAAGCCTTCTGTATGTGTATGAATGCTGTTTGTGGTAAAAATTAGCATTATTACCTAGGTCCCAAGAATTATGTAAGCCTCCTGACCGTTTCGTGGGTTTGCAAAACTTTCTTGAAATTTGTCAGCCCCCTCGGTGTTTAGATAAGGCTAGGCCAACACGGAAAAGTCCTCCATCGCTTAAATATCAATTCAAATGTTGTTAATTTTGATTCATCGTGAATTTTTAATAGGTTAAGCAGAAAACAATCCAGAACAACTGTAGATAATGGTTTTATTATTTATATGAAAATGTATTGGTGTTATACAGAGATACGTCGTTTAGTTGAAACTATGCATTAGCTTTGTTTAGTTTTTTCCGTGTTTAGATGAAGCTGTGTAAACAAGGAAAAAGTCCTGCATTGCTCATATCAATTTAATTGTCGGTCTGTAAGCTTTTCATAGACTTAACTGGAAATAAACCTGAACTATTTTGAATAGACGGACACGCTCCGCGATGTGTGGGTCAGTTGAAAATGAAAAGAAAGCAGTGATGTTTTCTGGCACGATAGTCTGTGCGAGATCGCGTAATTTGCAGAAATAAAGATTTCATGATCGATGTCACGCTTCCGAATCATTAATCGCTTGGTTGGAAATTGATACGCCATTCAGTTTCTAGTGAGCTTGTTCAAGGTTGGAAACATAATTGAAAAAGTAGAAATTCAACAGATATCATTGAGAACACTTGTAAAGATTACAGTAGTCTTACTGATTTAATAATTCGTCACAAATGACCTTGGATGATTCAAGGGCACGGATACTGTCTGCAGGTCTGCCTTAAGCATGACCAGTGATATTTCCGTTTCATCATGAAAGGATATATCATCAGTCCTTTAAAGAAACAATATTTTCCTTATTCTGAGTTAAGGTCCTCGAGCAATGATTAAGATCATTGCGTCATGAAGGCTACGATATTCTTCAAGATTCAGTTAAAAATGCTTTCAAAATTCAAGAATTTCGTCATGCAAACGTTCGATAAAGAACTTATCGCAGGTACGATTGAGGGGGCGAAACCTATTGTGTAGTTTAACACGAGGGACCGAGACTTGCAATAATTAAATCAATAGTAGTAGGCACTGACAGCAAGAAAAATTAGTATGATCTTTCCCTTGAAATAAATAGTCAAGTCGTAATTTCTGATTATGCACTACAGATGAAACAATGATCTACTTTGCAAAGTTATGAGTCATATCTCTAAGTCCTACAGTTGATTGTTTAAGCCAAAGTGTAACATTTGATCGTGTACTCTGATCATCAGGGTAAGAGTAGTCCTGAAAAGGAATGTTTGATTCTGACGATGACTTCCGCTCAGGTTCTGAAAACGTCAGTCATTTCTACCGACAGCAGTCCTTCTGAAGACTATCATCACCCAGGAGATAAGTATATGCGACAAAATATCTAACTTTATCGTAAAGAGGTGCCATAGGGGGAAATATATTTACTGTTTATCTGTAGTACTTATTCCAAAGAGAAGATAAGCAAACCGGTTTTTACCTGTATACTACGTATCGTATGTTTTCGTGTACTGATATTCAGATTTTGGTCTTGCCACTTTGTACATAAATGTTTTAAAGGTTAATAGCATTTTCAACCCTTTCCGAGTCCTAAGAGTAACCTAGCAGTTTTAGTGTCCATATCAGTAAATAGTTTTCAATTCTTACATGTATGACGGTGAAAAACGTCATTTGAAAACTTGATGCCGCCGAAGAAGCGGTCTAGAGGAAGTCCGAGTCTGCCCGGCTCGGCAAAGGTTATTTGACTTCGGGAGTCTGTGTATGATTTATGGAGGGCAAGGACTACAGACAGTGCTTTTGCAGAAATGTTATTGTATTGTTCCTACGATGGAACTAGAGACTCCGGGGAGATTTTTTCGAGGTGAGAATAATTATTTGACTGATTTTTACTTGAGATCCTGAGATATGTATGTAAGCGATTTCATTTGTACAAGTCATTATTCTATAATTGAAATGCGTAAAGTAAATCAGTTTTGGCCAATATTGGTTATTTGTTTATATTTTATTTAGTGTTGAAGCCGAACAATTTCCTTCAACATCAGGTAAGCTTTGTACAAGTTTTATACGCAGACTCGATTTATGATTTTTCAGTTTGTTGTTCGCACATGATTCAAGATGGAACTTTGAAAGCACTAATTAGTAAGATGGAAGACAACCTCTCTTACTGTACTTAACAGTGGATGCAAAACCTCCCAAATCGCTCAAATTCGCCATTTAGAGCCACAGAAACGACAATACACAGCAAGTGAGGTAGGTTTACATTTATTTTGAGCTTTAACTCAGACATTTCATGATATAAGTTTATGATAATAAGACTCTTCATTATTCTCCCTCTTTGTATTTCGAATGAATAACCAGACTCGTCGCTTGTCTGGATCCCCTGTGGTTTCAGAAGCATAAAGAAGCGACAGCAATTGATTTCGTACTCGACGAATCAGTTATTAGGTTCAATCTCTTAGACGTAACAAATGTTAGTACAATCTTTATGCAACTGAAAATTATACCGTACCGAGTATCATGAATAATGATACTTGATAACTAAAGGTGAATCTTAAACCTCAGTGCTTTATTCCCGTGAGATTGCGGCTCTGGCGATGTCTTACAGGTGACCTTTTACAGATCAAGATAATATTCAAATGGAATACTGCACTTCTATTTGTATAAATTTGTGAACGAACGAAAACGCAGATATCCATGTTGTTTGCATTATAACACGGCCATCCGTTCAGCAGTAAAATTCACCGAACGAAATAAATTATTCTTGCAAAGTCAAACAGTCCACTAATTCAAGAAACAAGACCCTCCTGCATTTCAGTCTCCACTTCTTCCAGTTTGCAACTGAGCAAATAGGAACGAGATGGCCGCGAGAGGGGAATTGATTCTTGAAGAAAATCGTTCGGTAAGATAAAAGCATATTTTACAAATTTTGTTTTTTTCCAGTCTGTAATCTAGTATTTTAAAGTTATACCGTCCAAAAGCTTAAACATTTCCTTTGATCACTTAGCAGATTTCAATCAGGGACAGTCAGGTACCTAATTTCTTGGAGGAGCTGGCTAGCTACCTGGAGGGCAACCTCTCCTCATTTGACGCTGTAAGTTAGTTTCACACTGACATGTTTCGCAAGACACTATTGGCTGAATTTTCAGCCGGGTCCTCCAGGGAATTTGGAAGGTTAAGCCATGTAGGAAGATTCCCTCTTGTTGTTTGTTTTCTTAGAAGAAAGACCAGATAGCCACTACCTAATGAGATGGTAAGAGTTAATCTTCCTCAATAGATTAATTGCTGAAGTCTCTCTTTTGTAAAGAGAACTTGTAGCTCAAGTTGTTTTTCAAGTACATCTTTCCAGGAACTATGGTGGCTTCGGCAGCTGGATTCGTCAACAAACAGGCCCTATTTAGGAAACTTAGAGGTCATAGGTCACCAGTCAAAAATAGGTATTATTATATTTATCACTTTCTAAATTATTTCACCAGGAGATCTATGAACGCACTTGTGGTGTTTTCTTCTAATTTACGGCTGCAGAAGGAAATTAAGAGAGTGCGTGATAATTTCTGATATTTTGCAACCAAAGTTAAAGTTCTGTTGTAAAATTTCAGCCGGGAAACAATGAGATAAATTGAAATTGGATTACAGTAGATGACATTTTCTTAATCTATCAACCTTATGTTAACTCAGTCAGGTTCTCATATGCAAGATGTGATTATCATTTACTAAAATAGTTAAACTGATCGATGTAAATGAAGATTTCTGTGAGTGAAGTAAATAAATTGTTGATTGTTCTAAGGTATAAAGCTTCAATTGTTTTACGACCTTTCTGTTTTGATGGACGATATCCTTCGCAAGCCATAACAAACGCTTATTTGGTCATCGACTTTTGTATTATAATCAAATCTAAAGATCTCTCGCTCTCAGTAAGCAAACTATACTTCTTGTAAGCTATAGACCTTTGACCTGCCTATTTCCAAGCCTTTGTCAACAAAGTCAGCAGCAACTGATAAAGCCTGAGTCAAGCATACAGGAGCAAAGACTGCTGAAACCTATCGCCTCTATCGAGGCTTTCAACACGAGTGACGAATACCTAAATTTTTACAGCGAAATCAAATTGTACAAATAATACTTGTTCGGATGTGCAACCTGGACGATTCTTATTTAAAGCCTTTGTCGAAGAATTCTTACTCTAGCTTTGATGTTAAGTTCGTGCACGTCATACTCCTCAACCCGGAGTTCAACAAATGTCTTTGCTGTAAAGACAAGAGATGAAGGAAAGTACTATTTTCTATGGCAATTTACTCATGTTGTTTTATCTTTTTTGCCGCAAATCCCTCTGAGCTTTTTAATGGTTTCCCTTTTCATTTTCTTGGTTTTGGTTTCCAATTCCACTTTCATTATAATGTCATCCAACGGTATCTCTTGAGTTTGTAGTTTCCCTTCTCTTATCCATTCTATCC